ATTGAACCATTCATGAGACTGTATCTTATTGTTCAAATCAAAGTTAAAATCACGATATGAAGACTAAAAGCAGCCAATGGCCTCATAAACCTTAAATCTATACAATACAACTCATCATTTGATTGCCAAGTTTAGGGGGAAAGGGTCAGTAGAAAAGCAAGGTTAATACTAAGCTTACAACTCCAAAACCAACTTAATCAAGGCCTACAAATTAATCAATATCCATGCAACTGATTCGTTCATTAGCATAAACCAAACCACGGAAACAAACCTAAATATGAAACACACAAGGCAAAGATCCAGAGCTAATTTCAAAGCACAGCAACATGATTATGAGAAAGCAACATTGCATCAAGCTAACATGATCTAAATTTCGACTGCAATCCATAAGTATACCTATCAACATGCTAATCAAGGCATTTCAAATGTTGGGTATTACAGTATGCACGTAAGTAAAGAAAACAAGTAAGATTCGATATGAACAGCTGCATCTCTTATTCCAAACTCAAATCCCAACTTCGACTACATATAGATGATGACCATGGTGTTATTGGGCATACCTGAAAAATGGAAAAGGAGGAAGAAGTTCAACAGTAACAACAGCAAGGCCCAGCAGTAGAACTAAACCCAGGAAACAGCTTTAAACTAACAAATTTGGTGCTCAAACAATAAACTTCAACACCAGATCCCATTCATCTCAGCCCGGATAGTTTTGAAAGCCATTTCAGGGATTAGAATTGAAGAAATCGTAAGAAGAAACCAATGAAACAGCCCTTTCCACAAACTTCAAACCAAAACTCCTTTTAAACACATAGACTTACACTAAACCCATCCATTTCAAAACCTCAGGAGAATCAGAAGGTAATTCAGACGTTAAAAGCTTCAGAAATCAAAGGAGAAAAGAAACAACAACTCAATGAGACAAATTCATTGTATTACAGAAATTGAAGGAAAAGAGGCAAAACATTCAAATTCAATCCAACAGTAAACTCTTCTGCATTTTTTTTTGTATTTTTTTTTATCTTTTTGTTAGCCGCTTTTGATTTCTCTCACCATCTGATCTCTCCCCCAAATTCAGCTAATGGGGCCTTTTATAGGAAGGTGTTAGGGCAGCAGAGATGAAATCACAATTTTGACAATTGCCCTTCCCCAAATTTAATCTTGTTCAATTAACACCCCTAAATTTAACCCAATTACTGAGCTACCCCCTTCCCCTCTTTCCTAGAAGCTTCCCAGTTAGTTATAGTAAGATTCCTTCAACCACAATCCCCAAATTACCCCTTTTAACTAATGTTATTTACTCTCCCAAACCAGTCTGACCATGGGTCATGCTAGACCAGAGCTCAAAAGCTGTTGTTGGGACGTGCCGAAGTAAATCGAGGGCCCAAAGAACTATACCCAGCTTATGAACAATCCGAGACCCCAAAAATTCTGACCCAAACCCCATTAATAAACAATGGCCCTCAAAAGAACCTAATCAATTTTAAGACTCACAAACCGAAGTGGTTCTAACCATTTAACAGGATTAATCAAAATTAACTCAAAGCTATCATTTATACGAATTAAAACAGAAACACAAGGGCCAAAAATGAAAAGAAGAAAACAACAAAGAGATGAAGAAGTAACAACAGAAAATGAACCCAAATAATTTGAACGAACGAAGGAGGATGACGGAGAACAGACAGACATAATACCTTCACAGTCGCCTAGACCACACTTGATGAACTCTATGGCTTCGATTTGATTTGAAACGAATATTAACCGAATGTTCTCAAAGAAAAAACATGGTCAATACTCATTTCGAACCCTATCGCTCAAAGGAACTGAAGGCTTGACGGGTGCTCTTCTTCTTGTGTTTTCAGATTCAAAATCGGGTTGATTTGGTGGGGATTTGGGGAGGAGTAACGATGGACTAGGATTTAGGGAGGGGTGATGGTTGTAGAGCCTGATTTTGGGTGAAGGTGGAAGCTTCTTCACTTCTGTAACAATGGCGGAACCTAGGGTTGACTAGGGTTAGGATATAGGAGAGAGACGAGAGAGATGGGCATGGAAGAGTCCAAATGGTCTCTGAAGCATTTTTTTTCGGACAGTTTTATGGGAATGGGAGATGGCATGCTGGCCGTTGGATGCTGGGAGATGGAGGGCCTAGATTAATTTGCTTTGAAGAAACTCAAAATGACGTAGTATTGGCTTTATACTACGTCGTTTGGATGGTCTGAGAGACTAACCAATTTGGACCGGGTAGGGGTCAATTTGGGCCTGGGTTTTGGGGGCCGGGTCTGAGACGGGTTTGGTACGAAATTAACTGGGCTAATGCGAATTTGGCCCAAAAACAACCTTTTTAATTCTTCACTCTTAAATTCAATTGTTTTTTGTTTCTTTTTCTTCTTTTTTTTTCAAATCAATTTAAATCCTAACTTAACTCCTAAACTTAAATTAAATTCCCAAATTAAACTAATTACTCAACAAAATATTTACAACAATTAAATAGTTCCCAAATTAAAAGAGCTACAAAATTCAATGTTAAAAAGATAAAAATGCGAAGTGAGTCAATTTTTTTTGTGATTTTTATAAGACAACTAAATTGCTAATTAACCTAAAAATATAAAATTAAATCCTAAATGCATAATGCAATATATTTTGTATTTTTATGAATTAAAATGCACAGACAAAGACAAACAATTAACAAAAGTGTCATAAAAATCCCCAAAATTGCAAATAATGAAAGAAGTTATTTTGTTTTGAATTTATGGGAGTAATTCATATAGGGCAAAAATCATGTGCTCACAGCTGCCCCTCTAAGAGTTTTCGTGCAAACATAAGTGAGCGGATACGAGCGATTTTTGCCCGTTTGAATACTCCGTGTGAAGCATTTTGAAAGATTTGACCGCACCCTGCTTCTGATGTTGCCTACATATCCTTGGCTAAAAAGGAATCAGGTCAGTGTAGTTCGGGAAGGTCTGGTAGCTGGGATTACCATGAAGCTGTGATTTCACTGTTGCTGTTGCTGCTGCTACTGCTTACTGAACCCCCTTATTACACCGTGTCAAAAATAAAAGAAACTAGACTAAGCTATGATCTATGAATTACACAAGATCCTATCTATATCTTCAAACTTGCTCTCGTGGTTCTTGTTGCCTTGTTGACTTGTATTCTCCCGGTGACATCCTTTTGTTGTTGCCTTGAATTGTGATCTGAGATGTTTTGCCCTTTCTCCGAGTGATGCTCGATCGCTAAAACTTGAAATGTAGTCCTCTATTCTCCAGGCGGGCTCCTGACTGCTGAAACTTGAAATGTAATCCTCTGTTCTCCAGGCGGGCTCCTGACTGCTGAAACTTGAAATGTATGCCTCTGTTCTCCAGGCGGCTCCTGACTGCTAAAAACTTGAAATGTATTCCTCTGTTCTCCAGGCGGGCTCCTGACTTCAACAAAATAGACAAAAACTAAGAAAATTTTCTGCCCCAGTTTGGTAGCTGGGCACATATTACCAGATATTAATAAGAATTTGAAAACTAAAACTTGAATTGTAATACTTCTGTTCTCCAGGCGGGCTCCTGACTGCTGAAACTTGAAATGTATGCCTCTGTTCTCCAGGCGGGCTCCTGACTGCTGAAACTTGAAATGTATGCNTAACCCTTGTTTTTTTAACAAAATAAATTTTTTTTCTGTTTTTACAACGGAAAAAACAGTTTTTACAAATTTGTTTTTCCAGTTTTTAAGAAAAAAATCTTTAAAAAAACTAAAGAATGAAGGAAAAAAAACATTTTTCAAAAGGGAAAATAATTTGTTGAAACTATTTTATTCAGTTTTTAAAAACTAATAATGTTCTAATTCCTCTGTTTTTACATTTTTTTCATTTTTTACAAATATGCTTTTACAAAAAAAATATTTTGTTAAAAAAACGATTTTTGCAATTTTTTAAAAGTTTTACAAAAAGAAATTAGAACATTTCCAAAAGAAAAAGAAATTTCTTTTTGTAAAACTTTTAAAAAATTGCAAAAATCATTTATTTAACAAAATATTTTTTTTGTAAAAACTGAAAAAAAAAATGAAAAAACAGAGGAATTAGAACATTTTCAGNATGTAAAAACAGAGCAATTAGAACATTTTCAGTTTTTAACAAAATATTTTCGTTTTTTAAAAACAGAATAAAATATTTTCAACAAATTATTTTCGCTTTTGAAAAATATTTTTTTTCTTCATTTTTCAGTTTTTTAAAAGTTTTTTTTTTGTAAAAAATTGAAAAACAAATTTGTAAAAACAGTTTTTTTTTGTAAAAACAGAAAAAAAATCATTTTTAACAAAATATTTTCGTTTTTTAAGAACTGAAGAAATTATTTTCAACAAAATATTTTCAGTTTTTACAAATATATTTTTACAAAAAAAAAATATTTTGTTAAAAAACGAGGGTTATATATAGACCTTATCGTAAAGTCCAGGGGGGTATTTGGTTCCATTTAAAGTCCGGGGGGGGGGGGGGGGGATATCCGGGCCAATAGTGTAACGCAAGGTTGGATATGGGCCAAACTTTTAACGAGGGTTTTATATATACCTTATCGTAAAGTTCAGGGGGTATTTGGACCTTTTCCGTTTAATTAAAAACCTTATGGGCTGATAAAAAGCTTTTATAGAGAGGTATGCCAGTTGAGGTCTGTGTCCATACCACATCGAAAGGGAAGGCAATTGCCAAGTGCTTAGACTAATATAAAATTCCACACGAGTCGCTTACAATTCTCACGAAGCCACGCGGTGAGCACAAAGCGAACTATTCTTTCGCCTTTTACTAAAGAATACTGTGTGCACGCCGCAAATAGTGGCATACGCCTGTTTTTGGAGGGGTTCTCTTTATTGAGTTCCCCCAACAATTCAAGTATAATTGTTAAAACTCGTTTACTACTTATACTACATAAATAAATATGAGGCTCATGTTAATCATGCGTCACAATTGCCAATAAAATTTTAAGGCATCCACAACTTCATAACTTGGAAGGCGCAATTCCATGCTTATGCACGGTCATGATCTTTATGGTGATCTAGATGAGTCTGCTCCTGCTCCATCTCGCACTATCACAACTGGCACAGTCCTTAGTGCCAATCATGTATTTGCTTTTTTGGTTTCGTCAAGACCAACTCATTCAAAATACACTTATGCCATATGTTGGTCCAACAATTGCTACTACTGTTGCAGCTGCCAACAGCAAAAAAAGCCTGGGATGCATTGCACGCTACATATGTTAACAAGTCTCGAACAAGAATTTTCAGTCTTCGCGATCAACTTGCGCGTAGACTCCCAACCAATCACTGAATATGTTCAACATATTCGATCCATGGCTGACAAACTCTCTACTGTTGGTGCCCCTATCACAAACTCTAAAATCATTGTTAAGATCCTGAGTGGTCTAGGACCAGAGCTTCGTGAGATTTCTGCTGCAATTCGTGCTCGTGACTCCACTATTACGTATGAAGAACTCTACGAGAAGCTTCTTGATCGTGAGGTTATCCTTAGAAAAGAAGAGTCAAAGAAAGCTCCTAGCTAGATTGCTGCCGATGCCATAACATTCAACAATATGGAAAGTCGAACAATCGTCGCTCCAACAATAACAATGGCAGCAACCAACAATGCCGATACAACAATTGCATTAATTCACAAAATCAGGGGCGATCTTCGAACACCACCAACTCTTATGATGGTGTTCGCTGCCTGTTGTGCAACAAACTAGGTCATGTTACCAGTATATGCAGATCCAGATCTCACAATCATTTTGAGGCCAAGGCCAACTATGTTTCGGGAATGCACGCATCAGCAAATCCTTGGAGTCCCGACTCTAGAGCATCTCACCACATAACTGATAATCCTCACAACTTGCAGGAATACAATGGAATGGATCAGGTCTCCATGGGTTATGATAACAAAATACCAATAACTCACACTGGTCTAACTCAATTACATGCATCAAATAACGCTTTTAAACACTCTAACACTCTCTGTGCTCCTAGCATTAAATGCAACTTACTCCCTGTCTCTAAATTTTTTCAAGATAACCTAACCTCTATTGAATTCTTTCCGTTTCATTCTTCTGTGATGGACCTGGAAACACAGAATCTGTTGGTGCACGGTCGGAGTAGAGACGGTCTCTATGAGTGGCCAAACTCACCTTCCATATCTTCTCCTAAAGCGCATTTGGCCTCCACCAACACATCCATCTTCACTTAGCATCGTTGAGTGGGTCATCCGTATGTAAGAGTTTTAAATTTTATTTTGAATAAATTCTCACAACCTTACTCGCGAGATAAATTTTTAGTTTGTAATTATTGTTCATCGAATAAGGGCATCGCCATCCTTTTCAGGATAGTAGTTTATCAAGCACCAAATTGTTCAAACTGTATTTAGTGTTCTATGGGTCCTTCTCCGGTTTTATCGATTGACAAAAAATTATACTGCTGCATTTTGTTGATCAATACACCAAATANAAAAATATTTTGTTAAAAAACGAGGGTTATATATAGACCTTATCGTAAAGTCTAGGGGGGTATTTGGTTCCGTTTAAAGTCCAGGGGGGAGGGGGGATATCCTGGCCAATAGTGTAACGGCAAGGTTGGATATGGGCCAAACTTTTAACGAGGGTTATATATAGACCTTATCGTAAAGTTCAGGGGGGGTATTTGGACCTTTTCCATTTTTTGTTTTTGTTTTTGGTATCTTAGGAGAAAGATTCGTCCGACTAAGACGTTTATCCTAAGAGAAAATGCATCAGACTAGGTTTTCTATCTTGGGAGAAAAATTCATCAGACTAAGATTTCTATCCTAGGAGAAAGTTCATCAGACTAGGTTTTTTTTTTTGTTATCTTAGGAGGAAAATTCATCAGACTAAGATTTCTATCCTAGGAGAAAGTTCATCAGACTAGGTCTTTTTTTTTTGTTATCTTAGGAGGAAAATTCATCAGACTAAGATTTTGATCCTAGGAGAAAATTCATCAGACTAGGTCTTCTATCTTAGGAGAAAGATTCATGAGACTAAGATTTTGATCCTAGGAGAAAGTTCATCAGACTAGGTCACTATTTTTTGTTATCTTAGGAGAAAGATCCATCAGACTAAGACATTTATCCTAGGAGAAGATTCATCAGACTAGGTTGTCTATCTTAGGAGAACAATTCATCAGACTAAGATTGTGATCCTAGGAGAAAGTTTCATCAGGCTAAGATTTTGATCCCAGGAGAAAGGTCATCCGACTAGGTCGTCTATCTTAGGAGAAAAATTCATCAGACTAAGATTGTGATCCTAGGAGAAAGTTCATCAGACTAGGTCTTCTATCTTAGGAGAACAATTCATCAGACTAAGATTTTGATTTGGAGGAAAATCCATCAGACTAGGATTTGGATCCCAGGAGGAAAACAATGTGAAAAGCAATGGCACCATTTTATATACGCTAACAAGACAGGCAAGGGCGAAGATTTGAGAAACTTCCCTTTTGTCGGCTCTCCTCTTCTTCCTTTTCTTTTTCTTTCTTTTCTTCTTCTTCTTCTTTTTTTCATTGTTGAACCAACTTTCTTGCACTGCTTTGTTCCTGTTTCAAACAAAGAAAACTTGTGAGTTTAAAATGTGGTGGTTAGTTTTTGGCCTTGAACTTTGAAGGCGGCTGCTTCCGCATTTGCCAGGATGACTGATTTCCACCCAAAGACTTTGCTTGTTCCCGATATCCCCTACTTGTTGCATTGCATGAACTGGCATTCCCCCAACCCTTATGTCTCATATGAATCCCAAAGCACGTCTATTGCTCCTACTCCGTGTACATTGTGTTTTTTCTTGATTTAACCATTGGCCTCGGCCTTGAAGTTTATTGTTCCTTCACCCGCCTTGATAACTGATTCTCACTTGGAGACCTTGCTAACCACTTTCTTTGTTACCCTTGACGCAGAAAATACCTTTGATCCGTTCACCCCAAACCCTTCATTTGTTGCGTTGTTCATGAAGTGACAAATACCAAGCCCTTGCATCTCACAAGGATCCCAAAGCATGTAGATTGTTGCCAACTCAGTGCGCCTGCTGTTTTATTTGACTTGTGACGATTTGATATGTTGGCCAGATCTTGTTTTGTTCAATTGGAAAGCTGGTGGTAGATTTTGAAGTCATTTCTCACTTGTTATGACCGAATTGACTCACGATGAGGAAGTAAACAAGGTAGGAGGAATAGAGTAAAGGATAATGGAAAGAGACGATTCCTAACAAGAAACCTACAGAGTAGCAACCCATCGGATGTGGATACCGACTCTAACGACCTTGACATGCACCTGTAGCCTACTCTGTTTAGCAAATCTGATGTTCGACTCTTGTTGTACCTCTTCGCCGTGAAACTGGGCTTCACTGCTCCGCTTGCCCGATCTGAATCACAATCCTTTTTCGACTTGTGGTGCCCGTAGGTTTTCACCATCAAGCCTCTCTCATTTTGGTCTTTTTTTTCAACTCACCATCACCTTATGGTGCCCGTGAAGGTTTTCACCAATAAGACTCTCTCATTTTTTTTTCTCTCAACTTTCATCGCCTTGTGGTACCCGTGAGGGCATTTATCATCAAGACTCTCTTATTCTTCATTTCCCTTGTTTGGGCCGGAGTGTTGCCCCTGATATGGTTCACCTCTACTCGCTTGACTCGGCATCTCTCGAAGATTAATCAGAAGGTCTTTCTTTGGACCGTAATGCATGCTTTTGGACAGGGTTAGGAAAAAAGGGTATTAAAGGCTCAAAACAATTCAACATGGGCTCAAAATTATAACTTTCGGAATCAGATTTCTCACAACAACCACAACTTCTGCCCCAGTTTCTTTCTGGGGGACTTTTGGACTTTTATTTCGGTGTGACTGAACCTCAGAGAGAGGCTGCCTACGTACCCTTTCGGGATCAAGTCAAACGTAGTTCAGGCCATAGAATTACTTCGTTGTTGCGATCTTTCCTTTTCTTCCACTTTTTCTTTTCTTTCTTTTCATTTCTTTTCTTTTCCTTCTCTTTTCTTTTCTTTTCTTTTTCTTTTCTCTTCTTTTTTCCTTTTCTTTTATTTTCGCTTCTTTTTTCTTTTCGTTTCTTTTTCTTTTCTCTTCTTTTTTCTTTTTAACTGTTTTTCTCTTGTTTCTCCACTTACTTTCCCCGCTCGGGCTTACGAGTTTTATTATTGATTCCGAAAGAGGGGTATGTAAGAAAATAACCGAGGCTCAAAGGGGTAACAAAGGATAAAGTGTTTGGGTTACAGAACAAAATGCCTTCGTCATTCCAATCTCCAAAACATGCCAAGTACAAACTACACAATTAAACAAACATGAGAAAAACATACGTAACATCTTTTGATTGCACCAGAATTACTAACCATATCCACACATTTGCCTTCTACATTTGTCAATTACCCAGCACCATTGGACAACAATCTCGGTACCACGAACGGCCCCTGTAGACTTGGGGCAAACTTGCCTTTGGTTTCAAGCCGATGTGGCATGATGCATTTCCACAGTATTTCTTTATGTTCCGTCTGCCCCAGTTTCACACAATTTGGGCTCGAAGTGATCTCAAAATCCCCTTACGTATTTCCCTCGAATGTCCTTACATCTTCAACATTGTTTCATTGCTTCATTACTAGACTGTCTTTTAAAAACCAGGCTGAGAATTATGCGTGCATGTCATATCACTAGAACCAGCATGAAAAGAATTGCAAAAGGAGAAGAAAACTAAACAAAATGACTAGAAATGGCAGGAAATAGAGAATTGCATTAGACTGACGGTGAAAGGGTTTAAACAACAGAACAAACAGACAAACCTAGACAGCACTAAACAAGCTATTACGGCAAAGTGAAAAAAATAGCAGGGTTTGAGTCACAAGACAATATCCGGATTACAACCCTGAAATAACCCGGACAACAGAAATGACAACAAAATAAACCACCAAAACTCCACTCCGGCTGACCAGAAATGAGCGTCTTCCCAATTACCAAGCATGACATCTTAACCACTGAGTTTCGCATCAATATTGCTGGAACCTTCACCAATTTCAATATCATTGACTTCATTCAACAAGTTTACCGTAGAGGGTTCTCATAACTCCCTGTCAC